AAAGTTTTTTGGGAATAACAATAATTTTAATAATTTAACAAGGGTATAAGAATCAATAGGAATATAAAAAACAAATACAAACACTTAGGCTGCAACTTTTCGGACAACGTGTTACTTCAACGGTTACGACTGGACTGTCCCGCGACGCCACGCCGTTTTCCTTATTCGTTACCAATTCCCGCGTAAAACGAAACAATTGCTAATCGCTTCTTTGTTCCCTCGCTAATTTTCGCGCCAACTCGTAGTAACGCCGAATTATCTTGGCGCCAATTGTCCGCGTTTCCCGCTCGCCCGTTCGCGCCCGACGTATTCGATGAACATCGAATAAACCGATCCCACATTAATAATAAATTCCTTAAAGTTCGACAACATTTGAATACTTAATATCTAATTATAATTTTTAAAACACATATAAAAAAAAGTAAAATAAAAGAGCTAAACAATGATCTACATATTTATATTGTTAATGTGATACATCAGTATAGTTTTGCGATAATAGTTTGTTATGACAAAAAGTAGTAAATCTTCTAAACGACGAGAACAGTAGAAGACCACGTTTCACTGAATAAATAATAATCATCATTTATAACTGTCGAAAAATGTTTCTAGTGGGGCATCACAGGATCAATAGTTCACAACATCAACGCTAGGTGACATAAGCTATCACATTCGTTACTTTGACGGGGCTTCTCTTCTGCTTCTTATTCCCACCATTCCATTCACAAAATGTCCACTATTGCGACTTTTATTTTAGGGTAACAATTTTATTATGAAAAATTTTTTTATAATAATAAATATACAACAACAATTAAATTACAATCAAAATGTTTGAAATTGAGTATAGTAGATACAAATGTGTAAAACCTGATTTTAGCAGCATAAATATCAAATTCATTTTAATTATTTTGTAATAATTTAGTTATGGGGCTTCTTATCGATTTTAACGACATGAAAGTATGTAATAAAAGTCAGCGTTCCTTAACATTACTTGTCAATGCAATTATTTCTAAAATATACGTGAAAAGCTTCAATTAAATCTACATATATTACGAGTACAGGTGTACGTGGGTTATCAGAAAAAAATTCTATATTTCAATTATTCGTATTCTAGTATCGTATCTTTGTATTGTTTTAAAGAGTATACCTAGTACAACATACGCAAATATACTACATTTCAATATTATAATCGTATTATTCGTATGACTCCATAAATCAGTCAAATGTGAATACGGATGATTTCATCTGTGGTTCACTGAATATTTGATACTTGCACATGTTACATTGACATATTGAGTCTATTGTATCAGAGGCATTATTAAAAACAGTTAGTGGTATATTGTTATCAACAACATTAGAATATGTCAATCGTAATATAAATTTAATTCAAGTAAAATATCTGTGAAATTAAGACCAAGCTGTAACAAATATAAACTGTTCAAATTTTTGTCTTTGACAACAAAATTGAATGTCAACAAGATGTCCGAATAATTATCTATTCTGTCAATAATTTTCTAATTACATTTTACTTATTAATTTACTTATAGCTTACATACTGCTTTTTAATTATGTTTCGCTTGATACAACTTCTTGTAGAGTTTCTCTATTAGAAACGAAACAAACATATGTAAGAGTGATGCAATTAAGTGTACGATCTTTTTTAAATTCCTATGTACACGTGTTTCACTATCACTTTCATGGGATTTACTCATAAAAGGTTTGAGAACGTCTACAGACTGTACATAAATTTCTCAAGAGATAAATGAACAGACTTTACATAAAAAATAACTGAAAACTATAACTCGTTTGTATGCAAAAAAGCTTTCAATCGTTATTGAAAACTTAATGAATGATAATATTCAATTAATGCGAAACAATTCGCCAAATTCTAATACAGTAATTTATTACTGCAAATATTTTTTTTTGAAAAAGCTGTTCAGAATCATTAAGTCGAAATTTGTATTATACTGTTGGCACGAGGTTTCATAAAATGAAATTGATTTTCATCGCAATTTAAAACGCTATGTATTACAAATTTCGGTGACTTGTAATTTACATTTAAGCCAATAACATGTGAACAGAAAATATACACGGATAGAATAATAAAAAAGAAGTGAGAATGGTTAACGAAGGTATACCTCGCCACATTTCATGTTGTTATTGATCTGCAGGAAATGATGCTGTTGAAAGCTGTGTTGCATACAAATTTTAACCGGCCACGCCTTGTTTGAAGGTTGCAAATAAATTGTACACGATAATTTTATTCGAGTACTGATTAATTGCACAGTTTTTGTACGAAATTTAAAAAATATATGAAGGAATATTCAATACAAAAATTAATGCAGAACAATGTCAATAATATCTACGAGATCAATCTTACAAAATCTGTTGTGTCTGTCCACATTTTCCATAAATAACGTTGATAATAAAATTATTTGTACAATTTACCCTACATGTTTTTAATTTATTAATATGCGCATATAATTAATATAATAAATTAATAGTATTAAACGTATATTTTATTAATAAATTAAAAATACGACACTGTGCAACACTTATAAAAAAAAGAATGAAAAAAGAATTAAATATTAAGGAAATTAAAAATTCCATTATTACAAAGATTTGCAAATATCAATTTCATATAGTAAAATATTATCTCGCTTTTGTATTTTACAATTAATGATCAAATAGGGGCATTGTTAGACAATTAATTGCTTTCCTATTATATTATACCACTATACTATTATTTTACTGAATAATTATCTCACGATCCTAAAATATCCCATTATACATAACATATTACATTAAAACTATGGAAACTTTCGTATACTGTTAATAAAAGAGGGTGTTTTGATGCTGATACAATCGATAAAGGGATGAATGTACGTGGAAAAATAAATTAAAAATACACGTTGAAATCTCCCTGTATCTTCATTTTCAGAAGAATTGAATTTGAACAGTTATGGAGTATAAAAAAGTTCTCAAACTTTTTTGAAGACAAATGGCAAATGACGAAGAACTTTTTCGTTAATTGAAGAATAACTGATTAAGAATTAAGAAAGTAAGAATATTGTTAAATAACTGACTCCAGACATAAACACTAGTAATTTTAATTGTGAACATATTATCAGTCGTTATATTTATTATCAGTCATTTATAACATTATTGATGCAGATATTAGTATACAATAAAGTGAATGTAGCCGATGATAAAAACAATAAAATGTTACATTATAAGTGACAACATGTATTATAATAAAAGTACATTACAGTGACATTACTAATTATATTTACTGATTTAACTATTGCAAACGGCAAAATTACAATTTATTTATTTCGTCATTTTCTGTGTTATCAAGCTTTCTTACATATGCCTCAAAAATACTCAAATCCAATTTTCTCGGAAACGAAGCTTCATAGGAAAAAGTACTATTTCATATTCTCTATTTATTTTTCATCCTCTTTTCGGTTGTTCTACCAGATCAGAAACGTCCTCTATAAATCTTCCGAATGCGTTAGCAATAAATTTCTCAAAATTCCATAAAAGACAGACACTTCAAAAAGCATGTTCCAAATCTATTTTCCCAAGTTACTTTATTTCGTAATATTAAATTTGAGAAAGAAATTCGAGCTTAAAACACGATGAAACTCAACGCGCAGTTTTCAAAAAGTGTCTTTACCCGCGAAAAATGGTGAAACCAATATGCTGAAACATGTCACAGAACCATGCAATCGAATAGAATAAATATGATACCATATTTTCACAGGCAATTTCAATTTTCCACGAGCAGAACGCCGATATGCTTTCAACTTGCCGCAAGATGTCTCGATTCGAATTAGCCGAATGTGTAATCAGACGCACATAGAAACTTCGTTCATTCGCAGACAGATTGTGTATTTATTCTCGGTTTCCGTTCGCGTGTATACGATATCTAGTTAAACCGCTGGTTGATCGAGCCGCCGGCGAAGTTTGCAAGGAAAACCAAATTTCCCTGGACGATCTGCCGCAAACTAGAAGCTCCTCGGAAAGAAGGAATACTATCAATTAACCGGGAACTGGTTGATACCCATAGAGTAGTCAACAACACAATCACCGGTAAAACGATTTCTTTTCCCGTTGGAAAACAATCGCTTTTCCGATCAACGAATAGTTCCCTGGTTTCCTGTGTAATTGCGTTTCGAGTCGATAGTTTCGAAACTTGCGATCATCTATTCTAATAATTTCGCCAAGAGCTCGTTTATTTAATTGACTGGAAATTCGATTCATTTCCGAATTTTTCGTGGAAAAAACAGTTCATCGAATGCAGGCATTAAAATTCGTATTCACGTAAAGCGTATCGCGTTTTCATTCGGAATTAATATATGCAAGCCGATACTTCTCCTCATTGTAAACAACCATATTTTGCAAAGAATAAAACGATACCAAATTAATAATACTTTTGGCGTATTCGCGTTGAAATAAAACGTATAATGAAAATTTTAACTACACGATGTTTGGACGCGGATTTAATGTACATTTTTTAACACGATCACCGGGATCCAAATAACTGAGAAATGCAATTTTTACTCTTTAAAATTCGATGTTTTAAAATTACTTATACTCTATAGTAAGCCCGTAAGTCTGTATAACCCTTTGTACAACTAAATGTAAGCCTCATGTACAGCTTTATAATTCTCTTATGAGAGTTCAACTTAAGCTTAAATAAAAAAAAAAAAAAATTCGATGTTTAACTAAGCGATGAATTATTAAGATAAATTACTAATCACTATAATTATTAGTAAATCATTATCAGTAAATCATATAGTATTAGAGAAGTTTTATGTAGTATCAGTATATCACTAATTTGATCAGTGAAAGTTTCACGATTTAATAAATATATAGTTATTATAATATTAAGGTCAAAGTAATAAATTTTATTAATTTATCAAACCTTTATAGTGAATCTTTTGTTGTCGCCAGAAAAATCATGGTGCATTGACAAATCCAGCTTAGCTTTCTGTATCAGAACAATTCAATTTTTATGACGGTGAAAACGCACAAATTTATTTCGAATATCGTGTAACAAACGTATTATAATTAAGTCCTGTAGCGAGTGATGGACAAAGCAATTTGACGGTTTACGATATTAAATCAAGTATCCATATGACAATCAAGTAATGAAATAGTTGATCAAGCTATGAAAGTCTTTGCACAATGTCAAAATATAAAGTCCGCAATGAAGTAATGACAAATACGAAGTAAATCCCGTAGTGACAAAATATAAAGTGAAGGTGCGGGCCCCGGTGCCCTCGCTTATTTTATATGTTTCACTCCCCTACGACGTCTCCTAGCAACCACCTGATTTCTTCGAAATCTGCCACGTGCCCTCCGTCGAACTTGGCTTCGCGGTCATCCCTCTACGACCGGACCACCGAACCTCATTTGTATAATTAAATGCCGTGGGGAACAATTGAAAGAATAATATTTTGCCAAATATTAAATGATACATTTAGAAACTGATTTACGTAGAAACTTGGGAGAATTAATATTACGTGGTTTTTATTTTATACAAATATCAGCGTATGTTGATAAAAAAACAGCTTCTAATCGATCATATTCTTATATGTATACAATATCTTAGAATACATAGAAAATATTGTGAATGTAAAAATTTACAAAAATATTTTAAAAACAATGAGTTAAGTTATGTGTATGGATATTCCATTTTCAAATTCTCTAATTCCCTAATTCCGAAATTCTTAAATTCCCAAATTCCCAAATTCACAAACTATCAAATTCCTAAATTTTCAAAGTATAAAAATTCTAAATTTTGTAATGTACATTTTTCTTTGAAGATATGAAAATCTGTAAATTGCAGAAGTCAATAAAAAGACAGAGTCAATCTTTGATATTGCCGTATTTTCGTGTATTTTCTTGAGCTTAATTTGTGTAACATCATTAGAGCGCGTTAAAGCCCGTATAAATCGCAGCTTGCTGAATCAGTAATATACATGGTATAATATAATGTACATTGTATATAGTAATATACAATATAACTAAAATTAACTGGTATATAATTGTATAAAAAGCAGAGAAACCTTCATTCGATAATAACTGACATATAAAATCTTTTGGATATTCTCTACAGGATGTAATATTGTGTAGCGGATGTTCCTGTGCCCTGGATCTTTGTATAACTGCTTTAGCCAGAAGGGATCAAAATATCTTAATACCACGACCTGGATTCTCAATCTATCGAACATTAGCAGAGGGTCTTGGTATTACCGTAAAATCTTATGGCTTACGTGTAAGTATAAATGAAAAATTTGTTTACTTTATTCGTACAAATATCAAAATTTAATTATCATTAAAATTAACAATTGACTTGGAATTACTGTGAATTCATATGGCTCTTATGTAAATATAAATGCAAAAATTATTTTTATTTCATTGATTCGAATAATAAGGTTTATTTATTATTAAAATTAACGCTACATTTGAAATTACTGTAAATTCATATGGTTTTTATGTAAGTATAAAGGCAAAAATTATATTTATTTTATTGATTCGAATATTAACGTCCATTTATTATTAAAATTAAGGCCTTACTTAAAATTACTGTAAAATTGTATAACTCATATACAAGTATAAATGCAAAAATTGTTTTTATATTATTGATTCTAGTATCAAAGTTTACTTATGATTGAAATTAGCACTTTGTTTGAAATTACTGCGAAAGTGCATGAATTATATGGAAATGTAAAATGCAAACATTACTTTTATTTTATTGATTCAAATACCAAAATTTATGTACTATTGAAATTAACACTTTACTTGGAATTACTGTAAAATCATGACACATATTCAAATATAAATGCAAAAATTACTTTGATTTTTTTAACTTTAATATCAAAGTTTATTTCTTATTCAAATCAACAGTTTCATTATAAGCGAAAGAGATATAGAGTTTTTCGTAAATATCAAATAGTATTTCAAGGAATGAAAAAGGGAGAAATTTATAGTTGAAAGTTCTTTTACCAGTTTTGCCTCAGGCCGTTATTTGCCGAGTTATTAACAATCCAACAGTTCGTGATGAAAGTGGAGCAACACCATTTTTTTAATAACAGTTGATTTGTGTATTTTTGTGCTTGTATGGAACGAAAAATCTTGATAATTGCACAATCAAGCGGCGCATAAAGGAAAAACAGACGTAACATATTATACCCAAGCATTTTCTATTTTAATTTTTCATACTTTCAAATAAAAGAATAGAAAAATAAATAAATATACGACAAATAAATGAGGATAAATAAGAACATCTTATTTATCATTATTTGCTTATTTCTTTGTACATTAATTTATTTACGTAATCATTTCATAATTTAACCAAAAGGATTTACTAAGGGATGTTAAAATAAATTTAAGAAAAATAATTCGCTAAATTATTTAACTAGTTAAGTGTGTTTGACGACTATATCTGTCATGGAGATGTGGCAGAATTTTGTGTCATGACGACTATATCCGTCATGCGTAAAATTTTGTTACAATTTTGATATTTAAATTGTAATTTTGACGAAAACTAAATTATATTCCTACATTGTAATATGTTTAAAATGTTTAGAGGTCAACACGAAATGAAATAAACAAATAAAAAGTGTATAATGATTTGAGATGGATTCATAAATTCTTGAGGGCTAACTCGTCATCGCTTGATTATCGTGACACACACTGGTGCTCGCTTTGCAAAAAGATCGCCACAGTTAACTGGTTAAAGTAATAAACAAAATAAAAGCTTTACTGAAGTAAATTCTCTAGAAATAATTTGCTAAATTGTTGCACATACTTTTTTAAAATTAGCTATCCATTGCTATTAGTGCCACAAGTGCGAGGGTTTTTGTAATATTTTACGTTCTTACGTGAGCTTACTTTCAATATTTGTAAATTTCTTCATTTTAATATTCAGAATTTCGTAAATTATTAAATTTATACACTTAGAATTCTGATAATTTGGAAATGTGAAATGTTACAAATGTATTAATTTATAGTTATCAATAAATTAGTGATCTGGAAGTTTGGTCATTTGAAGCTTCACAGATTTATAGTTATTAATAAATTAGCGATCTGGTAACTTCGTCACTTGAAGATTTACAGATTCATAGTTACCAATAAATTAGTCATTTGGTAATTTGATATTTAAAGATATAAAGATTTACAAATCCCGTATTTAGAAGTTTGAAAATTTTTAATTGAACATTGGTAAAATGCCTCGCACATTTCTAAATATGAAATTTCGTAGACACCAAATCGTTCATCGTTTAACTAATCAACGTCAATTATTAAAAATTATTAACAAAGTTAAAAAAAGCACTATTAATTTCCAATTTCACTTCATTTCAGTCCATTAAATATTAATTAAGAATTACGGAACATCTAAAATACTGATCCGTCAGAAATAGTGAACCACTTATGAACAATGCATATATTACGGGACTGAAATATTAAAATCAATCATAAACGAGAAAGAAAAGATAAAACATAAGTCGGGAACGATGAACATTACTGAGAATTTAAAAAAAAGAGAACTTCGAATTATATGAAAGTAATATTACATCTAGATAAAAGAGAAGTTAATGTAGTATTATATATGCCATAATCATGAAAATAAGAAAGTGCTGCTGACACGTTTTTCAAACTCAGCTAATATATATAAAACGCTTTTAATCCAGCGTAACGTACAAAATGAATACTGTGGACGAGATTAAGGTATGCAAATTTATAAGCGATCTTACGCGATATATGGTAATGATGTCTTAGTGAGTTATTCATTGGTAAAGATCGCGTTGCATGCGAGTCTATGGTACAGTTCCAAGCATAGAAGTCTTCTCTACGGGAAACGGTTTCACTAATCGACTTGATTTTTCGTTAGTAACGAAATATAAATTTGGATTTAAAAATTTCAGGATTTTGGGATTTTGGAATATGAAGAGTCAGGGATATCAGTTTTATAGGATTTAGAAATTTAAAAATAGGGGAGATTGGAAGTTTGGGGATTTGAAGGATTCTATTAATATAAGAACTTTATGATTTGTGGTTTCTGAACTGGAGAGTATAGGGAAATGGGAGAATTATGGGAATTTAGAAATTTGAGAATTTTGGAATTTGGAAATTTGAAAATTTGAAAATTTGAACATTTGGAAATTTGGAAATTTGAAAATTTGGGAACTTGAGAATTTGGGAATTTGAAAATTTAGGAATTTTGGTATTTGGAAATTTGGGAATTTGCGAATTTGCGAATTTGCGAATTTGGGAATTTGGGAATTTGGAAATTTGGAAATTTGAAAATTTGGGAATTTGGGAACTTGGAAATTTGGTAATTGGGGAATTGGGAAATTGGGGAATTTGAGAATTTCAGCATTTAAAAATATGAAAATTTGCGAATTTCAGAAAGTGAAAATGTGGAAACTTGGAAACTTAGGAATTTGAGAATTTGGAAATTTCAAAATTTGTACAGTTAGAAATTTGGGAATTTAAGAATGTAAAAATTTGGGATATTAATAATTTTCAAATTTGGTAATTTATGGACTTCGAAATTCACAAATTATGGGGCTGAAGTTTTGAAAATTTATGGATTTAAGGATTTGAGGTATTCAATATTTAGTAACACCAGAATTTGTAACCTTGTAAATTTAGGGACTTAGGAATCTCGGAATTTGTACTTCGGAAGTTTGGAAATTTAGGGAAGTCTACATTGCACCTAAGTGTACTCTGCGGCTTATCATATTGCATGGTTCATGCCATTTTCTATAACTTGTACGTACACATATAGGTATTGATACAGTTACTAAATATCGGGTATCTTCAAACTATTTATTTATTGAATACATTATAGTTTATATAATTCGTAATAATTTACATAGTAGTTTACAGAAATTATTATACGTAAAATAAAAAATGTTAGTAATTATAATGATATTAACAAACGATATTTCCCAAACTCTTAATAAAAGTTGATTTACAAAGTGGTTTTGTTTATTAACGATATTTAAAAAATAAGAATTCTATATTCAGTCTTTCATTTTCATTTCAATTTATAACCAATAAAATAACAGGTTTATAAATTTTAATATTTTATTTACAAATGAATATGCATGATGCATACACTCATTTTGTGCTTTAAAATGCGTCCCTTTCATCAAATGAATTTCATTTCAAAATTTTCACTAGTAAAATATATTTAAAGCAGACTTTATGTACTTGCATCTCATAAAAATTCATGTTTCATAAAGGTAATAATGAAGATAATGTATTCGCTTTCGATGAAGCTATGGCACTGCAACGTAGCGAAAAATTGAAAATGCATCTAGAATCCGCGTTTGTGAATTAAGCTTGACCTGTTAAATTCATTATTTAATGTAAAATCAGTATCTTGAAATATGTCGTTACGGTCATCATTCTGAAGAACTTTTTGCTATACATATAATAGTCGAATTCTTGTAGTTTTCGAGATATTTGAAGAAATAGTTATCTTAAGGCTATCGAAATTTTCAACAGCATTTTGCGTTCAATAGAGTACCTTGTGTATATATGTATATACATAAATCTTGTTTATGTTTCTTACCAAAGTCGTCGACTTAATGTCTAAAGTTATCAGTGAATTTGACACTGCTTGTATTTCATACACAATATACGACTAATCATTTTAACATAAACTTATATGTATAAATACCAATTCTCTAAAATGAAATTCTAGAAGTTTCTTGCCGTGACCACATAAATAGACGAATTATTGAATGATTTGTATTCTAAAATTGTTATTCATCGAATAATAAAATTTCCACAATGTGAGAGTATCTCAGAAATAAAGTATTCACCTTAACAACATAATTCAAGGTGATCGAAATCGGAAGTGGTTCCCTCCTTCTAAATATTTACTCAATTATCTTATAAGTGAATACTAAATTATCAAACACATAATGAAGAACTATTTTATTTTTTACCAACAACGTGCTCTTAACAGATAAAATTTACTTCACTACTTTATGATGCACTCATGGTAATATACATAAATTATAATAATAGTCAATGAAGAATAGAAATTTAATACTGAAGTTTAGCACGTTACCACAAACTTACCTGACCGCATGGTGGGTTAAAATAATATATTACCAACTGTTCCTGTATTACGTCGGAACGAGTTCTATTTTCTTTGCTTTTCTCTTATTAAGGACACCGCTCGGTATTTTAATATATGTGCTTAAACTTGCCGTGATATGTTAAAGGTATATAAACTTCCTACGTTAGATTTCAACAACGGTCTTCTCAAAAAAGTAATAATAATGTATTATGCAAATAAATTCTTAGATAAGTTGTTCCTTACAACATACATAACGTGATAATCTCAATTGAAATCGCCGTACGTCTCAAAAGGAAACACCTCGTAATTATTCCATGAAGTAAAGCACGTTTAAAAAGTTGGAGTGAAAATAAGAAAGCGTTGTATTTCTGAGAAGCTTAAATTAATTCCAACAAATTTATTTTCTAAGTACTTTTCTTGGTAAAAATAAAATAATAGATCATGATTTGTTACGTACGATTTAAATAGATTTAATTTGGAATTTATCGATTTTAACGAAACGTATTTGTTTGAAATATGCTTGTTTTTGTTTTTATCATAAAACATTGAAACAAATATACTCGAATATTAGGTATTTGAACACTCAAGCTTTAGAAATATACGAATTTATAAATTTGAATTTTGCAGATGGAAATTTTGAAATTTCAAGGTATGAAAATAAGTATGCCTGAACTAAGAAGTAATTTGAACATTTATTTAAATTAATTAAAATTCGGGAGTTTGATCATTTGGAAACTTGAAGATTTGAATAATTTGGGTATTTGGGGATTTTGAAATTTGGAACTTTCAAATTTGAAAATTCCTGATCTAGAAATTTAAAAACTCGAAAAATCAAAAATATACAATTTGATGATTAGGTAATTTTAATCTTTACATTTCTGGAAGTTTTTGAATTTAGGAGATAAATAATTTGGGAATTTGAAAGATTCAAGTTTGGAAATTAGGAATTGCAGAAACATGGAATTATAAAATGTGGATATATATGTAGATATTGGGGAATTTAAAAATTGAAAAATTAGAAAATTTCATTATTTCGAAATTGATAAACGGAGAAATTTAGAAGGTAAAATACTAGGAAATTTTTAAATTTCGAAATTAACTGAAGAATAAGAAAATTTAGAAATGTAGAAGTTAAGAAATTGAGAAATTACAAAGTTAGAAAATTATGAAATTAAGATATGTGAAAAGTTGGTAATTTGGAAATATAAGAAGTGAAAACAATGGAAATTTGAAAATTTGGTAATGGGATAATTGGGAAATGAAGTAATTAGGAAATTAGAAAGTTAGTAAATTAGGAAATTAAGAAATTTGCAAATTTTGGAAAGTGGGAAGTAAGATATTTTAGCAAATGACTAAATGACATTTAGCAAACTTGAAAATTTTTGTATTTCGAACTTTGGAAATTGGAAAATTGGAAAACTGGAAAATTGGGAAAGTGGGAAAGTGGGGAAGTGGAATATTAGGAAATTGGAAAATTGGAACGTTTGAAAATTTTGAAGTGGAGGTAGTAAGATATTAGTGAATCAGCAAATTTAAACATTTTTATACTTCAGACTTTTGAAATTGAGAATTTGTAAAATTAGGAAAATTAGAAAATGTGAATTCGAAAAATTCAAGATTGGGAAGTTGAGAAATGTCGTAAATTTGCAATGTGAAATTTAGAAATTTGAAAATTTGAAGCTTTGATGATTTATGTAGATATTTAAAAACGTTGAACATAAAAAATTTGAGGCAAGGATTTTGAAATTGTGAAATTCAGAAAAAAAAACATTTGAAAATTTGAAAATTTAAAAATTCAGTAATTCGATAATTAATTGGAAAATTTAGATAGTTGAGAATTTTAGAATAAAATCCAGCGAAATGCCTTCCACGCTTCCAATTATAAAATTTCACACAGAGCAGCGTCACATTCATAGAACATACACACTTCACACAATTCGCAATTATTCTGCTCCTAATTATTCCCACATATCGAGATATGATCAACGTCCTATTGTGTCTCTTCCATCACAATGTCCCACCTGGTCCTACATTATTCACTTAAATCCACTTCGCCAGAGATTTTACGAAAATTAATTTGTTCGTTTCAGCCGGACCTTGGCTGGGAGATCGATTTGAACGACCTGGAATCGCAAATTGACGAATCGACGGCGGCCATAATTATAAACAATCCTTCGAATCCGTGTGGGTCCGTATTCAGTCGAGACCACACACTTGACATTCTCGATGTGGCTGCTCGTTACTACGTACCCATTATAGCCGATGAAATTTACGAGCACATGGTACGTGCTTAACATTTAGCTTTTATCATGCACAAACCACGAAATTGCTTCGTTTTTCGAGCAATAAATAATGTGGGTCCGGTATATAAGCTGGCACGTACTTACCTGTCTACTGAAACCAATTCATAAATTCGCTTGATATTTGTAATATGACGTTCTTACTTTATAACAGTTTACTAACAGTAAATTTATGAAACCCGTCTAAATGATGGATGTTAGATTTTTTAATTATAAAAATTATTACGATACTTTTGACAAAATATTAACCTTTAAGATAAAGAATCATAATACGAGTATGGGGTTGTAGAATTTTCAAATCTGGACAAATTTTAATATTTTGTAATTCGAGGATTTAAAACTTGGGTAAATCCTTCGGAACTTCTTCAGAATTTAAGAATTTGACAATTTGAGAACATTGGGATTTTGTGATTTTGGAATTTTACAATTTGTGGATTTAGAAATGATTTAATTCCAAATTTAGAAATTTACAACTATGACCTTCTGAAAGTTAGAATTTTGGAAACTCATAATCAGTCAATTTTTAAATTTGAGAATTTGAAAATTTAAGAAGTTTGAAATTTAGTTATTTGGAAATTAGGAAATTTAGAAGTTTGGGGAATTAGGAATTTGAACATTTGAAAATTGTGATTTCAGAATTAAAAATCTGGATATTTGAAAATCAGGGAAATTGCGGGTTTAGAAATTAAAAAATTTCAAATTCGTAAATTAACAGCGTTGAACTTTTCAAAATTTGGGAAGTTGGGAGTTGGGAAATTTAAGGGTTAGGAAGTTGAAAATTTAGGAATTTGAGAATTTAGAAATTTCCAAATTATAACGTTAAAAACTAAATTTGAAGGTATGATAATTTAAAGCCTTCAAAATGTGGAAATCTAAAAATTTAGGAAATCGAAGAATCGATAAATCAAAAGTGTGAAAATTAGAAAAATGGGAAATGAGCTAATTAGAAAACTAATAAACTAGGAAGTTAGAAAATTGGAAAATTATGAATATTTTAGATTTAAAAATTAAATGTTTCAAAATTTCGAAAACTAAAAAAATTAGCAATTTCAAAAATCAGTAATTTCAGAACCATAAACTTCTAAATCTTTAAAATATCAGTCTCCATCAGAGTAAAAGTCTAACAATTTAATTATAAGATAAGGTTATAAAATCCAGTTAAAATTTTATCAAATGTATTATATCTGAAATGTATAAAAAATGTGTCTACAATAATTAAACTGAATAATATTTTTAAAAAAGACTGTTACGCACGTAAAATTAAAATTGATGGATTTTATAGTTAAATTCCTTTTAAAATTTTTTATCCTCCACTTTGTAAAAGACTTAAAGCTTTAAGTAAAGCTGTGGCAAGAAATGTGTTAATACAGAAAATCAATAGACGTAATGATGTATTTACTTTTTCTTTTATTTAACAGGTATTTCCAGGACGAACTTTCCATTCGTTAGCGTCCTTATCGAGAGACGTTCCTATTTTGTCGTGCAGCGGTCTAACAAAAAGGTATGCAGAAATCAATATCGCAGAGAATTCTTGAAAGTTTAGACAAAATTTTGCGTCGTGGAATAACGTAATGAACAAAAAAGTATTCTTGCGATAGCTTGAACGTGGTGGAATAAACGATGGAAATGAGGCAGCTAAGTTTAAAGCAACTTTTTTATTGATATTCAAACTGTAATTTGTTACTGGTTAAAAAATTATTCTTTCATTTTTTCACACTCAGTTTTTAACGGAGTGTGATAACCACAAAATATAAATAGGAATAAAATGGTAAAGGAAAAAAAAGGAGTACAAATGATAAAATTTGGAAATTGTAAAACGATATGTGTTTGAAAGTGCGCAGTATAGAAAATGGTATTCACCAATGTTATGTACAATTAAGATTGGACCTGGACATTCAGAGGGATCGTTAGTGATTTACAAACTCGTAAAACTTCAAATTTTTGTATACTCAAATGAACAAATGTCTAAATTTCGATATTTTTAAATTCTCATTCTTTAAATTATAAATCTTTCAATTTATGAATTTCTAAATTTATGAATTACCCAATTTTCCAATTTTCCAATTTCCAATTTCCAATTTTCAATTCCCAATTCCCAATTCTCAATTCCCAATTCCCAATTTTTCACTTTTCCACTTTTCCACTTTTCCACTTTTCCACTTTTCCACTTTTCCACTTTTCTACTTTCCTAATTTTTTAATTTTCCAATTTTCTAATTTTCCAATTCTCTAATTTTCCAATTTTCTACTTTCCTAATTTTTTAATTTTCCCATTTTCTAATTTTCCAATTCTCTAATTTTCTAATTTTCTACTTTCCTAATTTTTTAATTTTCCAATTTTCTAATTTTCCAAGTTTGTAATTTTCTAATTTTCTACGTTTCTAAGTTTTTAAGTTTTTAAGTTTCTAAGTTTTTAAGTTTTTAAGTTTCTAAGTTTCTAAGTTTCTAAGTTTCTAAGTTCCTTACGTTTTCAAGTTTCTAAGTTTGTAATTTCGATAATCGCAGAACCCTAAGATTCTGAAACTCCTTTATCTCCACTTAAAATTCTTAAGTTACCACAAAAATAATTTCTCACCTAAATAAAATAAACTCACCCGAATAACCTAAATAAAACTTGTACATTAATTTCGAATGTACAATTTATTGCGTTTTATTTCCTCGTCAAACAAATGTCGGAATAACATAGCGAAAAGTTGTATTAAACGATCAACGACCAGTTGAAAATAAATTTATCGAGGGTTTCCATTGAAACTCGCTTTCATGCTCGATTTAGCTTGCTGAACGGAATACATTAAAAACACTTTAATTCGATCTCGAACAAATTTTAACGAGTCGATCCGCCTCTCGATTCTCGGTTCAGTGCTCTTCAAATTGCTGCCGAATCAACCTTCGAAGAAGCAGACAACAATCAACCTACAACAAGGCCGATACCAGCAACAAACTTTCATTTGTATGTTTCAGATTTCTTGTCCCTGGATGGCGTATGGGCTGGATTATTATTCATGATCGTCAAAATGTACTGGACAAAGAGGTATGTTGATTGATACGTTCTGTAAGATTAATGGGCAAAATCTAGTGTCTATTGAAGAGATTATGGACAACTATGTTTACGGTGTACACAGTGATTTTGTGTTACAGAGATATGGAAATTTCTGTTTCTGAGATTTAATGATATAGTAATGTAGAAATTGTGTGTTTGGGGAATTTAGAGACTTGGGGAACAAGAGATCTTGAGATTTGGGGATCTGTGAACTTTGGAGTTTACTAATTTAGAAATTTTGACATATGAGGATTTGGTGATTAGGGGATTTAGGCATTTGGGAATTTAGAAATTCGGGACTTAACGTATTTTAGAATTTGAGGAATTAGAGAGTGATAAATTTTGGAACCTGGAAATGTAGAGATATGGGAATTTCGGAGATTGGGAGTTTAAGAAATCAGAAATTTGATAATTTGACAATTTGGAAATTTTTACATACAAAGATTTGGTGATCTGGGAATCCAGAAATTTAGGAATTAATAGATTTGAGAATTTGAAGATTTAAAGATCGATAAATTTAGGAATTTGGAAATTTTGGAATTTATACAGTTCCTGCTCAGCGAATTAGGACCACTACAAATTTTCAGAATTTTTCACGTTTTCCATAAAATTAAAAGGCCTGTTCACATTGCAATGATATAATTTATTAACTACTAACATGATACACGACTACTCTACATAACATTATTAACATATGTTAATATCTTGTATTTCCATCCTTAGTTTTGGTCACAGCTTGTATCCATCATGCTCCGTATACATTGATCATATGCTTTATTTATATCTTTATTATTTTCTCAAATATCTGTCATTCTTTTCAACTCAGATATTGAGGTTGGAGAATTGTAAATTAGTCTTTTAAGTAAGCTTCAAACATTTTCTATGGCATTCATCAAATTTTACTGCTGGCGCTATCGATACTCAAGCTTAAAGTAAACGCTCGCACAGCCCTTCATCGCTCATCGCCCACACAATTTATTATCACAATAGTAAGAAATTGCTATGTATATGTTGTTATCAATGTATTTAGTAATAATTTTGCATGACCTAAGACAATTTGCCACATATGACATGTTATAGCCATAAAAGTGAAATATTCGTACGTGGTTTTAATTCAATAGCCAGGAACAGTAACTTTGTACTGTAAATCACGAATTTGGAAATTTAGGAATTCAAAAATGTGAACTTTCGTAACTTCAAGAATTGAATAATATCTCGTATAAAAACTTAGTTACTTAAAATTTCTTAACCTATAAATTCCAAAATTGAGAAATTTTAATATAGAATAACAATAATTTAAAGATTGGCAAATTAAAAATTTGATAATTTGGAATTTGAAAATGTACAGATATAATAAATAAATATGGAATTTGTAATAAACAAATTTTTATTCCCATTTACTTTATTTTCGTTTATATTTACTCCAATTTGCAAATTAAAATATGTTTAATTTCCACAATTTTAAATTTCAAACTTTTAACTTCAGAGATTAATGTAGCAATTTTGAAAGTTATTTTTATAAATTCAGTAATTTAAACATTGAGGAATTATCTAGCCATCATTGTCGGTGAATGCACGTCACTTGCACATCAGATGCCCTGCGTTCTCGCGAGCACAGTTGCCCATCGCTATTATAGATCACACTGTCACAGATTACACGATGTTATCATACAGTGTGAAGTGTTACACAGCATACACGCAAGAAGCTTAATCAACGTACATAACGTTCAATTGTTTTCGAGATCCACAAAGTTTGCGATTCGCTATCGCACGAGATATCGATAATTATCGCAAACCCGACGAATTTCCAGATCAACCTAGTTCTTAATGCCTTCCCTTAACGGGACAGAAGAGCTTCGAACCTGGGACCACGTCGTGTCTGTCCACGACTGAATTAAATTTCTTTGATTAAACTTTATTTTCTGCAGTTAAAGTTCGCTCGTTGGCACCGTTTTTAGCTTCGTTCGAGGTTTAATTTCGTCATGAAAAAAAAATGAGGAGCGGAAGTACGATGGGTTTAGCAGAGGGTGGCTAAGAGTTCGAATCAAAGCTCGCTTTGAAGAAACTTTAATTCGTATACTTTTCCTTTCGCGCACATCTTACGATTCCTAACTACCGAAATACGTGATAGATCTTCGACTTTTTCTTTTTTTCCAGATACGGAAAGCACTTCACTGTCTCAGCCAGAGAATTATCGGCAGCAATACATTGATTCAAGGTGCGCTTCCTGCCATCCTGAAGAACACGCCTCAGAAGTTTTACGACGATATAATGCGCACGTTGTATGTAAGTGTTTATTACCTATGAAATTTTAAAGAAATTTTAAATTTATGTATATGATCTTTTTTACTTTTGGTGGTGATATTATTCATTTAGTAAAATGGGCTGTTTATTTTGAAAGTGCTACAAGTCCATTTAACCAGTGAAATGTGGCGATCTTTTTGCAAAGCGCGCACCAGTGTGTGTCACGATAATCAAGCGATGACGAGTTAGCCCTCAAGAATTTATGAATCTATCTCAAATCATTTACACTTTTTATCTGTTTATTTCATTTCGTGTTGACCTCTAAATATTTTAAACATGTTACAATTTACGAATATAATTTAGTTTTCGCCAAAATTACAATTTAAATATCAAATTGTAACAAAATTTTACGCATGACAGATATGGTCGTCATGACACAAAATTCTACCACATCTCCATGATGGATGTAGTCGTCAAACACACTTAACTGGTTAAAAAAGAATGATATATCACGTAATTTGTGCTTAATTTATTGTAAACTTTTTATTTGTAATGATTTAATGTTTAATATCTCAAAAAATGCCAATGGTTTGTACAATTTAAAATTGGTCGATAAAAAAATTGCGTTGTCACCGATTATGAAAGCGGCGTAAGTTCAGTTTTCATAGACACAGCTGGCAGGGTCACGTGGTAACGTTTGTTTTATTTCACATCACGGGATTTTTATGCTGTTATAAAACAATGTAGACGAAATAATGAATTTATTTGACATAAAATGAAACGAGGATATTTAGTTTCAACGAAAAATCTATGAAACAATTCTAAAACGGAGAAACAATACTAACGGAGGAAAAGTAAGCTGCCTAAAGATATGCTGGATGAGGTTGTAACGTATAGCTTCTAAATTTTCACATTCTCAAATTTCTTAAATCATTAAATAATCAAATTCCAAAGTTTTCAAGTATTTATTGTAATTTAAGAATTTGTTAAATGTTTTGTGGGAGCACAGGGTAGATGTCACGTGTCTGTACGCTGACGATCGTGCGTGCAGAAAGGCGTCACGAAAAGACAGAAAACGATCGATCCCTTAATCAATATGTCGCTGGGTGGAAGCACACCCATCATGATTAGTGACACGCAATTTACGCATTCCAACATACTTAAATTCTTAAAGTTTTGGATTTCTGAACTCCGATGTTTTTAAGTACTTAAATCTTCAAAGTTTTAAATTTCAAAGTGTATGAATTTCTGAATTTCTGAGTTTCGAAATTTCTAGGTGCCGCAGCTTTTCAAATTGCGAAATCTCCAAATTGGAGAATTATCAAGCTTTTAAGTTGCCAAATTTTTAAGCTTACCAATTTTCACATTTCCAAATTTTTATGTTTTGAAATCTTGAAATGTGGAAATTCGTAAATTTTCGAATTTTTAAATTGTTTAATTTCTAAGATTTTAAACTCCAATATCTCCAAATTTCTACGAGCGATATATTGACAAATATATACATTTTTAAATTTCCAAATATTAAAGTCCCAAATTCCTCGAATCTCAAAATTCCAAAATCTTGAAATCTTGAAATTTTGAAACTTTGAAATCTTGAAATCTTGAAATCTTGAAATCTCTAAATCTTGGAACCAAAATCTTTCAAATCCTCAGTCCATCAAGTTTAATAATTCAGTAATCACCTAATTACAGAAATATATGTATACGAGACAAAAAGAACAGATCGCGTTATAAAAAGTTAAAATACAGAGTATGATGATAATTCCAGAACACCATGATTAAATTAAAAACTGATACGAGAAACATACGGCCATGTACTATATGCGAATGTCATATTTACATTTGGAATATAGAATTTCCAATACATGAATATGTAATGATAAATTCAATACACATTGTATATGCCAGTCAAATTCAGCGATTCCGCTCTTTATTTTCGTCATAATTTCTCTCTTTATTAATGGTATTTCGGTGATAGTATCAGTATAACATTAAATATTTCTGTATGTCAAAAAGCGTGGCAATATAATGAAAGTCGATTTCACGTTCACATTTTCCGTCAGCGTATTAATGATTGATTTTCTATTTTTAGAATCATTCGAAGCTGGCTTACAATTGTATAACAAAGATACCTGGTTTGAAACCAATAATGCCAGACGGTGCAATGTACATGATGGTAATTATTTGTGTGTTATTATTTTTTTCATTGCCAAGAATCTCACAATATAACTATTAAAAATTATCATAGTCTATAATAATGCATTATTATAGAAATTTTACATTGAAATACGTATTAAATATGTATTTTACAAAAGATCCATTTAGATTATTTTCAATTATATCACATCATATGTGCTGAAAATATACGTTCACTTTATATTTAAATAAATCTAAAATTTTATGTTTAAACAGATTTACAAAGTATTTGTTTAATACTAACAAGCTTTAATAAAACAGTTCAACAAAGAAACTCTTCTTCCAAATACAACTTTATTACGGTAGAATGTAATTTATAACGATGTTTCTTTAAGTTTTTAGCTTTTATTCGTTTAATTAATGATTGTTAGATAATACTAAATTTTCTTTTATCTTAATTTAACATTTGTTTTAGAAGAACAAGATGCAATTTTTATGTACAACGATACAAACACTTCGTTTCCTCACAATTTTCATCTACTATTAATAAACATTAATTAATACAGCAAAAGTACTTCTTTATTTGCACACATTTTTGTACAACTTTTATTTTTATAAATAAAATTTTCCAACATAATTCTTCAAGTCACTTTATACTAAATACAAATAGGAATAATTCTCTGAAGTCATCTAATGTTAAATTACAAATAGTCACTTCTTTAATAAGATTCACGAAAAAAGAAACAATGCAATAATAAAAATTATTTGAAAGATGTTGTTGTGATTTTTTTTTAATTTCACTGAACGTACCAATAAAAGATCGAGTCATCAAATGTTTTTTCAAAATTTGTTTTCAAACATTTTTTTATGAATATTTATAAATCCTTTTATTGATTTACAGGTTTACATAGATCTGCCATGTTTCCCCGAATTTAATTCCGACCTCGAATTCGTGCAACGATTGTTAATGGAGGAATCTGTGTTTTGTCTTCCTGGCCAGGTACGCCATTTAAATCATTCATTTTTCCATGTTTCAATTTATTACGATCCCAATTTCTTCTCACAGTGTTTTGATTATCCGTCCTATATGAGATTGGTGATCACAATACCCGCAGACATGATAGAGGAAGCTTGTCAAAGGATCCAGGAATTCTGTAAGAGGCATCACTACAAAACGGCTGAACATTCGCGAATAAGTAGCTTCCTTGACGGAGAAATATCTTGTTGAAAAGGAAGCAAATTAGTTTGATACCAGCTTCCTTTCAACAGTGCTTTCGTTCTATGAGTCATAGGATCATTTGCGGATACTCATGAAAAAGATCATTCTGGCCACATGAAATGTACGTGAACAAACGAAGAGAAATGCAGTAGTCGATGTAGTGCCATGGACGCATAGAGAAGTAGAAAACTTTTAAAATTTGCAATACAGAAGCAGTTAAAGTGAATTTTTCAATGTCCGTATTGAAAGAATTCACAATCACAACGCGATTCTTAAGGTACGTGTAGTATATGGGGACACTTTAAAACCTAGATCGAGAAAATATGTTGTAGGCGATGTGAAAAGTGAAAACAACTTAAAGAAAAGCAATTGTGAAACACCATCTTGTTTTCTAAATATCTGTCGCAATAGATAAAAGATTTGTATGTGTATTTAATCACACATTTACGTGTAACTTAAGAACAATTTTATACTTCTAACATTTAGGCAATTTTTGATATTGTATTAACGTTAAAAAGTATATCGACATATCTGGAGAACAATGTTTTAACGAAAGCGAACAAAAGATAGTTTCATTCTTCTTATTAAAGCTTTTATGTTTCTTTTATTAATCATTACATTGATTATACACTCGCATACTTAAAATATTGAATTAGAAGGTAGGTTATTTGTAGGAAGCTCATATTCGCGAAAATTTTTTATTCATATTTCGCAAGTAGATTAAATATTATTGCAATATTTAAATATTATTTAGAGTAGATATTTAAATATTATTGCAATATTTCATAAATGGGTTTGTTGAGTTCTCGAAACTGAAATTTTACGGAGTTCCAAGAATATTCAGTTAAAAAAGTTTTCGAGCAACAGGAAAATAAAATATCTGGCATGTCACTGACATTCGCTCGGCTGACGAGTTACAACGTGTGTAGTGTCAATGTGAGTTATAATATAGCCTATAGACGTTTGACAGATATTTGTTAGATTTAAAAAAATTGTGCTATTTCATATTTCGTCACTTTCCTCTATATATATTACTTGTACAACATTTATACTGCCGACACGTTTCTGCCAATGTATATTTGGTAAGTTGCGAACAAATTAGATTTTTATTGTTTGCTTACAAAATGCGCATAGTACACATCACAATATTTGTACATTGTGGAACGTAGCTACAGCAATTCTAAAAGAATTCTATTATTTTAACCCTTTGCACTCGAAGATAATTTTATTGTTTGCAAACACCAACTTGAAAATATTAATTAAAATGTTAAATGAGTTCTTTTGAGGTTATTATTTCTCTACTAATAATTTCCACTATTGTCTATTTCATATTGTATTAAATCGAATGGCTCCTGAGAGGCGCCTCTCGAGCGCAAAGGGTTAAATAATAATTTCTACATGCTATACATATAACAATTATAATAAGAATGTGTATTGAGTGAAAAAAGCGTGAATGACGTTGAAAATACAATTACTGTTAATAATCGTTACTCACAGCGGGATAAATTTTTATATTTCCAATTTTTCAAGTAATGTCAATCATTAATTTCATTCGATTGTCATAATGATATGTTGTGTCATTTTGCAGCAGCTACACTTATTTCTCCGTAAAATGTTTATATACTGTTTACACCATAAATAGTCATGTGCCAAATTTTATTGAATTTCTCATTTCTTCTAAGTTTGTCTTCGTTTGAATTATAATTAAAATTAATTATGTAATGTTTTTTGTTATGTGTAAAGTTTTCAACGATTTTACTGAGAAAACGCAAATTAATTGTTAATTGTCAATGCTGAACAAGTAAGAAATTGTTCTCGCATTAGTTTAAGTGGAAGTTTTGAACTTGGAGATGTTAAATAAATTTTAAGTATTAAAATTTCTTTTCCTTTCAATGATCCTAATATTATATCCATTTTAACAATATTATGGTAATACACAAATTTCACAAGTTGACAATTTTAGGACATCATGTTAAAAGCAGAAATCACACTTTTTCATAACAAAAGTTAAGAATCATACTACAAGAATTTCTCGGAAATGATCGAAGAGGACAAAAAATTATTTATTGAATGTTATAGCTTCGTGAGAATGACAATTTCTTGTAGTTATATTTACATAGATTCAGCATAACTTCAGATTGGAATGATAATTAATAATTAAACAAATTCAATATATTAGCATGATGCATAAAATTAAAATAAATCGTGAATAATCTCATAAAATATAGGAAAGACCCAGTAAGTTGATATATATATTGCAATTCTTAATTTTTACAATTTTTGCCTGAATTAATTATTTCATAAAAAATATGCTAATATATTTTATCGTTATAGCTTTTGCAACTGGTTTTGTTCAAAATGCCTGTGCTGTTAAAAAATAAAATATTAAAATTGACGTTTGACATCTCAGCCTTTGAGAGACTGATTCCTCGTATTTGAAAAGGGGTCAAAGTAAAGAAGCATATTATGTTTCTTCTTCAGTTCTGTAGAACATACTTGAAAGTAAATTTTTTTACAAATACTTAATCCATTATATTATTATTCCAATTCATTTTTATATTATATTCCACTGTATCACAATTCCTTTGATTTCCAAAATATCGAAAACGCAAAGGATTTAATAGAATTTAACTGAGCGAAAAATGAGCAAATTCTGTATAAATAAAATCCGAAAGTGTTCAAACGTTAAAAACGCATGAATGATATCAATTCACATTGTTAATCTCCTATGTTTCGTTCGGTTGTTATATACGTATACAGTATACAATTTACAGTTACCAACACAGGGTTTCTCTAAAGTTGTACCCCACCGTTATATTTCGGAAACGGCATTAACCCTTTGCGGTCGTATGTCTACTCTCAGCCATTAAAGCTTTTTTACCATTCGTATTTCTGCTCTCAGCCACCACATCAAGGAACCATGCTAATCTTATACTTTATTCAACCACAATCAAAAACCAATTTTTCGACGAAATCCAAGATTGTTGGACCTAATGTACCTGTTCATTGCACCGAACCTATCGACTTTTTTAGACATTTTTTCACAGATATACTACTTGAAACAATTGTACTAGAAACAAATAAATATACCAAAAATAAAATAAAACAGTAGAACTTATCTGATCGATCAACATGGAATATCTGGATCGATGTGACGAAAGAAGAGTTAACAGCTTTTTTAGGTGTAATCTTTAACATGGGTACTATACCAGATCCGAATATGAAATATTATTGGACTAAGAAGCATGTTGGGAACATACCATTTTTTAGAAATATATTTCAAAATGAAAGATTTCTCCAAATATTTATTATGTTACATTTGAATGAAAATGTTTCCAGAAATGCAAATGTAACAAGGAGAATCCAAAAAGTGAGCAATTTTATCGATTATATTGGTGGTAAATTCATAAAAGAATTAATAAATCTTATTTATCCTTCATAATCTTACATGTTATGTATCACTGCTCTTTCAAGGGAAATTAATTGCGACCAATACAACACCCATGACCAAATTTAATATCATTGTAAAGGGTTAAATATAGAAAGATGTTGCAGACAAAGATTGTTGAATATTAAGCACAACATAAGATGGTGGCATCAATTTGATCTTGGATAGACGTTTGAAGCTCGCGTAAACATTTTCAAACAAAAAAAAATTACACGGGGTAAGATCGAATAAGTACAGGGGGTGAGAAATAGAGGGACGCCATTTTTGGTCAAGAATTATCAGAGTCATAAAAGGAAAGTTACTGCTATTGCTGAGGTCAAGAAAAGAACGACGTGGGCGCTGTCAAGCATCACAAAAGATGAATTTAAACAATGTTTTAAAAAATGGAGTAAAACATTAAACAAGTGTATTAGTGAAGAATACGTCGAAGGTGATTTGTGTGTACTACAGATTTTAATAAATAAGTAAAAAGAAATAAGCTCGATTCCTTTTGGGTGCCCCTCCTATACATATAAATACATGTGCCTATGTCATCTGCGACGGTCATCCAGTTTATACGAAATTTCCTATTATAATAATTAAGAAAATGTTTAAAAATGTTATTTGCAATACTATCCATATTGTACCGGAAAATTTGCCTATTTTTCATAGCACGCCCTCGTCATCCCATTTCCGTTGTTCGTATTCTGTTGACTTCCGTTTTAACAAATCATTCCTTTGCAATGTGATAACAACGTTGCAATAGAAACGTGGCCGATAATTAAAACGAACAATAAACGAACAATTCCGCACGAAACTAAATTTCCTCGTGCAAGCTATTTTTTCAATTTCAAGCAATGTTTGTTTATCGTTGCCGCTCGTTTGTTCAAACCGTTCTCTTTGTATAATGGAAACGCGGAAATATGACGAACGTGGTCGGAGTTTTCGAAACGGTGTAACAGGTTGTTTCTCAATCAATATTATATGTAAGTTGTTAAAGACTTATCGTTGATTTATTTAGTTTATTTAGTTTTTAAGTGAAAATTGTATAAGTATGAGTTATGTGTGAGTGAATGTAAAATAACCATGGTTATTCGTTGTGCGAAATATTGTAAATTGCGAATATTATATTGTAAAGCGAATGTAGCGTTAAGTTTATTTTGTATCGAAGAGCGAAGTAAGAGCGAGCGAGATAGCATTAGTAAACTTCTTAGAAACGATGCCTAGCTGGCGATCTCCTTACGTGCACAGGGGTGCTTCGGCAAACCTGGGGCCGGTCAGGCCAACGGCTAGGGGAGGTACTGTATGTATCGCCCTGAGGCTGGTAGTCCCACAGTAGGAGATGTCGAAAATCTCCGGTAATTAGGGACAGTGGAGGGAGAACCGCTTGGCGGTTCTCCGGGACCTTCAGGCTGGTCTAGGAGGAAAGCCGCTATGGTAGATAAGGGTAGAATTCCAGGAAAGGCCCGAGCGCGTCGCGAACATTGCTCGAGCGAGGCCCGAATATTCATTATAAATTTGTCTGTTGAACAAGCAGGACCTATTTCGCTCGCGCTTACACGAAACATTCGATTATAATTTTCTGGTTTTGTTCGTCTATTACGGGTAATATTTTTACGTTCTACAAATCCTGTTACTGTCATCAATTATTTTCATCTAAGAATTTGTACAATTTGTATTTTAAATTATTTATATAAAATTATTAACCAATCCCGATTTTGCTTTCGTTTTATTCAATGCTAGTTTATCAATTAACATAAGTACTCGTCAATACATCGTGTAATACAAGAAATTCAAAAAATAGAATGTTAAGATTAAAAAAATATTTTGATCATCCGTTGCGTGTATTTCCTCGTAGATTTTGATTGGATGTTTTTCAATCACTATGTCATAACATGCGTGTAAACAGACCTCTTCCCTGCTTTTTGGATCTATTTTATTTGTATCAAGGTAACTGGAATTGAATTGCCCTTTTTCGGTTACGTGCACGTCACAGCAAAGTGATTAAAAAAATATCTCGTCAAATTCCACCGGTGGGTAACGCTTTGAGTCGTTCACAAAAATATTTTGATATAAAGCAATACTAGGTTATGTCATGATTAACAATAATTTTGTGAAAGTAAAGAAATATTTATATACGTATATTATTTTGTGTAATTTATATACGTGTATGAATTTAGTTTCTACAATTTATGTTTATATCTTTAAGTTTATGTTTGTAATGTTTATAAATGTGTTTTTTGTAATTTATACAGATATATGAATTTATTTTATAGGATTTATTTGTTTGATTGTCCAATTTATTTTGCGTTATTTATTGTTCCAATGAAATTTTCATTACTCATTTATTTAATTTCACCAGTTAATTTTTCACTTTGTAACTAAGTGTATATTTGTTATTCTATAGTAGACTGCTGCTATATCGACAATTTCACATAGATTTGCACTATGTTAGTTGCATTTCCTTACTGTTATGGCGTGTAGAAATTTGCGGAAGTTAAATCACAGTGAAATTAAAGGAGAAAACTCATTCGATCTAATATATTTTCAATTTCAAAAATTTCATATTTTTCTGGCACCCGCTCTCTGTTAGACAATGTAACGAGAGTCTACCGTACGAACAGACCTAAAATTAATTTCTTATACAATAATTTTAGGAAAAAAAATACGCCGACTTCGAAATGCACTAAAAAGTATAAAATAATTTCTATTTCCTAATGAAGTAATTACTATTTCATTCAATCATACAACTACGTAACAGATATAAATGAAACCTATTTACTCGTTAGGTAGTATATTAAATACAATTCAACCTTTTTGGAGGCGGCGAAAA